TTGTTTTTAGATTTAGTTTTCAGAAGTACCTTTTCACATTGGTATCTATGGGGCCTATTCAGGGTTTTGCTGAAGGTTTAGGATTGTGAGGGTTTCAAACATCTTCTGACTCAGTCAGCTTCCAAAAATGGAAGTGGTTCCGCGGGCCGCAATGTGAAAAGTTGCATCTGATAGTTTGTTAGTAATTGATTCTTTCTATGTACGTATATAGTGTATTTGTCTAACATTTAGGGATCGCAGTAATTGGCGCAAGCTGTTGCGATTGCCCTGCCAGTTTTTTGTGTTAACGTTGTTTAAATCTGGCAAAGTTAATAAATAAATTGATCTTAGAGACCAATTGATAATAATTGGTCATATGATCAATGACAATAATCATGTGATAGTTTTGCTGCCAATGTAATATGGTCTATTTATGGTAGCTGCTCTTAATTTATTCAGTTACCCAGCCCATCTCTATAGCCTGGCATCATATACATGTAAGTGTTATTCAAACTGTTCCACCAGGCACCAACTGTTCTATACCCTTACACACCAGCATGCACTATAAGGCCAGAGTGAATGCCTGAGCAGGCGTGTTAATTGTATGTTTTAAAAATGACAATACTAAATTGCTTACCTCGTCCATTTTACCAGTACTTAATCAGATACAAGTATAAAAATAAAATTGTGGTGAATACAAAGATCCATATCTTGACAATATTTAATAAGGATTAATCTCAAAGCAATTTGCTTTATATGAAAGGCCAGCTGATATTCAAGTTATACTTGTTGGGTCGACTCACTATCCCTGTCGGAATTATGCAATTCTTTGAGTTTCAGCAATCTATATAACAAAACCGTCTCGCTACTCTGTCAAAGGTTGTATAATGACGCCTACAAATGCTTGCTGGGTAGGGAAATATAAACATATTTTATATAAATTAATATGTCTTCAGCAGGAACACCGGCTTTGTGTAACCATTAAACAAAAGCTTTCATTAGCCTTGTGAGAGCAAATTAAGCAATACCGGTCAAAATAACCTAAACAAAACACAGATAAAATCAACATGGGGAAATCAATTTATATATGTATACAAAAATATAAACATCTTTTTGTTGTTTCTGGCCTTGCAAGTCATTTGTTGCGTTTTAATAATATTTATTCTTAAATTATGTTTTGTGCCTGGTTTATCAGTTTTGATCAATCTTCTAAAACACCATAGAATTAATCAATTATGAAAACAAAAAGGTCATCGACTATAAGATAACCTCATCCTTTGGACATGCATGCTCTGTGACTGATGTGTGAGCAGCTCGTAATTAGCTTAATATGGTGCTACAATAATTCCTTTGAATAATAACGGGTATTCAGTGTTTTTACGCTGTATAAGTCAAACTTGTATTAAGCAACCACCCTCGAGAAATGGGTTGTTGGTTGCATAATATACAGGCTGGTCGCTAAATGCAGGTTTACTAGAAATAGATGTGGTCAAGTGTTCATTTTCAATCATTGTAGTGAGAGTGGGTGCATATTTAAAAAAAAGTATAGTTTCATATTACTGCATTCGGAAACACTATTCTTGGTGACGTTTACACTGAATATCATATATAATGCATGCACTGAGTGAATAATCGCGGACTTTAGTAACTTGCCACTTCATTAATACAAGGTGGTCGCTCAATATATGGCCACTTAATCATACAGCCATGCAACTACCTGAAAAATAGAAGGAGAATTTCGACGTTTCGAGCGAAGGCCCTTCGTCTGGAGTTGCTAACTGTTTATCCATCTGCAGTTTGGATTCACTTCACCTTACCGTCCGTGCAACTCACCATACCACACTTTGGGAATCAAGCTTGCGATTCTGATGCAGTGTGCTTTTCTGGAGTTTCAGTAAAAAACTAATACGTCAACAAACTACGTTTGGGAGATTTACTCCATCTGCAGGTAGATAATTAAAATGGAAAAAACGAAGCTTAGTAATTAAAAATCGATAGTATCCCAGACGTTTAGCTAGATTCTGTACTCCACCTTTTCCAATTCCAATCGACTAGCATTTTTTCATCAGGTAGATTCTCCTTAAAATCGGTTAATTCTATCTGAAAATTGCGATCGGAGAACATTGGGCGAATAATGAACGGCCGGTGCGCTACGTACGGTTATTAAAATCGTCGAAAAAAGAAAAAGTTTGTAACTTTAATTTGCGAAAATGTCTTAAACGATGTGGAGCAAATTATTTGCAACCAGCGAATGCCCCCTTTCTCCCTCCCGTCCACAGAATTTGTGGGAATTTATGACGCAAAATTTTTGTATTTGTCAGGCAATTTCCGTCAAAGACAGAAAAATTAATTTCTGTTTATACCCAAATGTTTTTTGTCCTGTACGCCTACCTAAGATTTCGCCCTTTCCGCCTCCCCCCGTGCCACTCTGTGTCTGCGTAGCCTTTTACCCACACCCTTCCGCAGAGCACTCTCGTCTCGCACACTGAGTAGCACCTAACCTACGAACTGGTATACTCTGGATTTTTAACTCTGGATACGAGATTGAGTTAGCCTGCATGGCAGGCCCATTGTCTTTCCCAGGCTTGCCCGACTTTAGGGACCGCCTGCCATGCAGGATAAGATTGGATTAGAGTTAATTTCAAGCCACGCCCAAATTTATGCCACTGTATGAATACGATTGGCATATTCTGTCCTTCTGCTGTTAGCCTCGTGGTGAACCTCTTATATCTCTGGTAGTTTAAAATCGTTTATATTAGCTGACATGTCAAAAAGAAAAACAAAAAGGAAAGAGATAGCATGGATGGACAATTATACGGTAAGTTTGTTAACTCATTAAGTTGCAGACTGTTGCAACATTGGCACTCTCCAAGTTGCAAGGAAAATGGCGAATTTTAGTTACTGTCAACTTCTGTCAACTGCTTTTACAAAAATACCCATATCTCAAGATCAATGTTATAAAAAACCTTGAAATTTTGCAGTGGGTTAAAATGATAAATGATTAATCAATTCTATTTTAAATGAGCTCCCACACTTAAATATATCATTAGATTTTTGGGTGAGAATTCTTGGTTTGTGTAAATTAAATCTCTGACATTTTGTTTCTTCATGACACCCAACATCTGAAGGGCAATAATTCAATAACCCAACATAAATGGAGAAATATTTTTTGATTCCTGGATTGGTACACATTTATTTTCAAATTAGTTTTCATCTTGTAGGGTATAAATGACAAAATAATGAAACGCTATAACAATTTGCTTGGGCATAGCTCAGGCACACTCAGGACATCTAGTTTACAATGGAGAATTTGAACTTCAGAACTTGTTGTTCAAGTCCAAAAACTCTGTAACCCAAAAACACAGTGTTTGTACCTCTTTGAAGTTTTTAAATAGCTCAAATATGTTTGGAAAAACACGAAGTACAAAAATTACTAATTAAAATATAAACAAAGGATGAAAAAGGTGAGAAAATTTAAAATATTTGAGGTGTTTTCAATTCTGACTTTGACAGCCGGCATTTTCAAACGCAGCGTGCGGTGACAAAACAAAAGGCTTTTTATTTCGCTATTAAGAGCACTGAAAGTCGTCAAAAAGAGATAAACACTTTTGAATATTCATCAGGTAAGAATTTTAACTGAAATTCCTTTTGTTTCTGTTGAGAAAACAACGGATTTGTGGCTAAAACGTTGTGCGCGCCAAAGTAGGTTGCTGTAAAATGTCAGACAGGCGGTTTCTTTTGAAATCTGACTCTAGCTTGAAATAAGTCCTTTTCAAGGACCAATTCTATAAAAATATAATATGTATGCTCAAATAAAATGAATAATCTAATATTTAGGCATTTTAGATTGCTATAAAAGAGTGAAATAAAGTATTTCATCTTTGGTTGTTTGTCAGACGAGAGTAAACACATTGGTGACACTTTGTTGCGCATGCAGTTTTCAAAAGATAAACTGCTAAAAATATAGCTTTTATTTCACCAAATAGCAAAGTATCTTGCAGATATTATTAAAAGAACTCAAGCGAAGTAATTCCATGATAAATAAGTGAACAATGAGACCAAAAAAGCGACTAAATTACAATTTTGGAAAGTACATAAATTTAATGGCTTCCCGCAAAAGAAGCCATTTCAGAGGAGAACGGCATTTTGTCAGGGATGGCATCTTGTCTTTTAATAATTTGTCTTTTATTGTCTTTTATTATTAAAAGAAGAATTTAAATATGACTGGAATTTGTCTTTTATTGTCTTTTATTCAGATTTTTATTTTTTATAAACTGAGTTTAGTTATCTTCGAAACTTTCTGCGCCATTAATCACACTTCACACATTTTACAACAACAACATATTTTTACAATTTTACTCTGCACAACTCTGCACATTTTGAATCTTTACTCTTATGCGTGGTCCTGGGACCTGGGTACGAGGTTGATGGCTTATACATTCAAAATGGCAGATCAGGATTAGCCATTAGGAAGCAATTCCGAAGCATTGAAGCAAGGTAAAATTTACATATTTTTAATAATTAAAAAATTTACATATTATTTAAGTCTTTAATTAATACTAATGAAAATGTCTATGTCTATAGCCCTTGACTTTAAGTCTTTAAAGTATTTTCAGTGAAATAAATCTACATAAAAACTACTATTATTAATTTTTTATTTGTATAAATTGAATGTATAAATTAAATGCGTGTGTAGACTGTAGACTACTAGACTGTGGACTGTACTGTAGGCTGTAGTCAATAATTTATTAATTTACAAAATCAAAAGAGAAATATATTAAATTTAAATCTGATAAGGCGATACATGTATCACTTTTGTATCGTGTTTTCATTTCTTGACATTTTTGTGTCATTTGAATATTTTTGCACGTATCATTATATTGTTTTTAAATTTTAATGGTATTGTCAAAAACAAATGGAAACTTGTATAAGTTGTATGAGTTACCATTATTTACTTTATTTAGCACATTTATAGTTTTATTCTGTTTTTGTTGCAGACAAAACCCTTGATCTGCCCTAAAATGAGCGAAAGTGATGTTGATACTGCTGAAGTAATTGAGCAAACCTTGACTGTGCAAGTTGACGGTGATGTAGCTCCTGTGACTAGTGAAAACCAGCTGACTAAACAAGCGGAAAACAATGAAACTGCTGTAGAAAAATCAAGACGCGGTGCTCCTGTTCACTCTGTTTGGGGTTATGCTTTTACCAACTCCAATGTGCACTCCCATTCAATGCCAAACAATGCAGTGTGTAAGCACTGTAAACAATCAGTCCGGCACCATCACAAAACCTTGGCTGTGAAAAATCATTTGAAGAACTGCAAGCCGTTCAAGAGGATTATGTTGAATACTGCTGTGGTTGATCGGCCTGACTGGTGGATGTCAAAAAATGGTAAAAAATCAAAAGATGTCACTTCGTCTCAGTCCACTTCATCAAGCAAGGGTAGTAGCGAAATTTACTCCCAACCATCAGCAAGATCATTTGCAGTGCCTCTGTTCAAAGCATCTGAACAGAAAAAATTTAACTATGAAATGGCCATGCATTTTTATAACACAGGGACAAGCTTTCAGAGAGTCGACGACCCATTTCTTCTGCGGGCAATCCAAATAGCACGACCTGGTGCTAAACTACCGACGCGTAAACAGCTGGCAGACGATAGTCCTGGGGGCCTCCTTGAAGAGTGTTATGGAAAGGTTAAGTCTCAAGTGGATAAGCAGTTGTCAGGTGACAGCAACTATGTCTGCATTACATCCAATGCATGGTCAAATATATCCAATGAACCAGTCGTCAATTATATGGCTGTGTCTCCTAACAACTCCTTGTTTTTGGAAGCAGTTAACACTGAGGAGCAGGGACACGACGCCGACTGGCTTTCCAAAGATTTAATTCGAGTGATAGACAGTCTGCATAACAATGTTGTTGGTGCTGTCACAGACAACACTGCGACAAACAAGAAGGTGTGGTGTGAGTTGGAACAGAAATACCCTTCACTGTTCTTTCATGGATGTGCTTCACATGGCCTTAATCTCTTAGTGAAAGATATTTTTGCCGGTAAGAAGGCAGAATTATCTGGTGGTGGTCCTGATCATGATCCAGCAAGTTACCCGTTTGAAGACTTACAGCTCTTCTCTATCGATTGCAAAGATATCGTCACATTTTTTCACAACCACCATGCTCCTAAAGCCAAGCTGAAGAAAGCCCTTGCTACGGCAAAGTTGAGGGCCCTGGTCCAACCAACACCAACACGTTGGGGTACCTTAATTGGGTGCTTTAAATCTCTGCGAGCTGCAGACAGCATCCTGAATGGTCTTGTGTCTGAGCGAGATTTCGTTACTGCCGGCGGTGCCAAACAGAAGGAAAAACGGCTAGCAATCCGAGCAGTCATAATGGATCCTGATTTTGTTAAGAAGCTTGATGAATGTATTCGTATCTTGGAGCCCATTGAGATGTATATTAAATTGTTTCAAGGTGATGCAGTCCCGTGCTCTGATGTATACAAAGCCTTTCTGGTCTTGGAAGAAAAGATGCGCAACATGAGTAATATTAGTTCGGAGAAGAAAGAATACCTCGCTAAGCTGGTGCATAACAGGTTCAACTTCATGTACGGGGATGCACATGGTGTAAGCTACCTGTTAGACCCTCGTTACTTGGGCGATGATATGACACGGAGATTGCGCAATGAGATAGACGATTTCATCTACAACTTTCTAAAGAATGACGGGACAACCAACAAGGAAAGACAGGAGCAACTGGCCCGGGAATATACAGCTTTCCGAATTGAGGCACTGAGAGAACGACGGGAGAACACGTTCCGCTTCAGACTCATTGGCCAATCTAAATCAGTTCTTCAGTGGTGGAAGGCTGATGGCACTGATTGGCCATTATTGCAAGATTTGGCCACACGTGTATTTTCCATGGCAGCATCAAGTGCTGCAAGCGAACGTAGCTTTTCCACCTTTGGTTTCATTCATACCAAACTACGCAACCGTTTGGGCCCAGAAAAAGTTAAGAAACTAGTTTACATCAAGACAAACACTGCACAAATCAGTGGCACCGACTTATTTGACTATGACAGTGACTGTAGCATCGATTTCAGTATGGATGTTTCCATTCTCGAAGATGTAACAGCATAAAGCCATAAAATTTTCTTGATATTTAAAGTTGAATAGCTTATTTAATAGCTTATTTTAAAACTTAATTAAGAGCTTATTTTTACAGTTCAATACCTTATTTAGTAGCTTATATCATAAGACATTAACTATCACATATCAAAAACTTATAAGTGCAAAAACTTATATCGTGACATGTCTATGTCTTTTATTGTCTTTTATTGTCTTTTATTGTCTTTTATTGTCTTTTAATAAAAGAAAAAAGACAAAAAAAATTTTGAAAAAATTGTCTTTTATCCATCCCTGCATTTTGTAAACTACTCTCCTGACCTATTTTAAACTTTTCCTTCAGGTAATCGACGAGTACTTCTTAGAAAATGAGCGTACATTAGTTTTATGATGTGCTTTATTGATTTAAAAATTTTATGGGGATATATGAAGCAATAAAGTGTATTTTAGAAGCTTTTCAAATCCCTGTCATGAAGGTTCAGAATTCGCACGCGCCAAGTAACGGCATAATTCAATACACTGATTTTAAACCACATTATCTCTGAAATGAGAGCTCGTATCGAGACAAAGTTTATAGAAACAGATATAGTATTCATTGTAGAGTATGCTACTTAGATTTAAAGCGGTTTTACTCAAATTTTTTCTTGCCAAAAATGTATATATGCACATGACAAGTTGAACCTACTGTCTTCTGAAAGTACTTCGGCTAAAATAACAACTTGAGCAAGACGGCCAACAGTAGGGTCATGAAAACAGTCTAAATCATGCCATAAAATGCACGAAAAGTTCTTCTCATAACTTAGTTTTAAACTAGATTGAACTTGCTTTAATGCTATATCGTATTTCATGAAAACATGCCAGGTATTTTCATTCAAAAACACGCTCAAAAAAATCGTAACTACTCACTTGGATTTAGTGTTCATGTTTCTTGCGATTTCCCACTTCACTTTTCCGTTAGATTGAAAGAAATTGCTGTTTTTCTGGCTGAAAATCGCGCGACTTGATTTGGACAAGAACTTGACTTGAAACATATGCACACTCCCTTATGTTTTACAATATATTTTATATGTAAAACACTTTAAAAACCTCTTCTTTTTCATCCTTAAAACTTGCTGCAAAGTCCTATCTTGTGACACTTTGCGGTTGTCACAGATTTTGCAAAAAAATAGAGTTTTAAAATCGAAAATCTTCGCAAACTTTTGATCAATTTTCTCGCATGATGTATCGTTTGAAAGCCCGAATTTTGCACTTTATAGTCGTGACCGTTGCTAGGCAACCCGATAAACATGTGCTAGACAATCGTGCCCGGAAGTTGACGTGTCATCCAGGGCGCATGAGGGCGCAATGAGACTTACCCTGTTCCCAATTCCAGGGCGCATGGGGGCGCAATGAGACTTAATGAGTTAATATGTAAATATTGCATCCAAACCCTGATTAATCATTCGCGATTCTGTACTATTCATTGACCTTCATTGTACACTTTCAAAATTTCTCACATCATGAATCCACAAATAGGTAAAAGCTAGATTATCATTCATTTCAGCCTTTATACCAGGTACTAGTGTTTAGATTACAATAGCCGACGTGCCGAATTTATAGAGAGATGTTTTAATAGATATTGTTCTCTAAACTTTGTTTATATTAATCAAGGCCCATATTTTAGACAACACTAAGCAGGGCAACAGTACATTAAGGTACCTTCGGCACCACATAGCTGCTTAGGTGTAAAAAATATCTGTGGTTCCGGTTTTATATTGTGAAAAAATTAGGGTCAGTAGGTCGGAAATAATTTTTTTTTAAATATTTTTTTCATGTTTTTTTTCAATAATTAGTGTGACAACAGACGCCATTTTGGCAGCAGCCCGCACAGAGCTGCCAAGTCTCACGGTTTACCCGTGAGTCTCCAGGTTTTCGCACTGATCTCCAGGTCTCACGGTGAGTGTTGAAAATATCACAGGATTCCATTAAAATGGTCCTTTATCCATGGATTCTACATCTATGCTTAACATACATATAACAATAATATAAAGTCAACAATTTATACATAATTTGATTAAAATTTTTCAGTATTAAATATTGTCTGTGCTACTCTGTCTGGCTATTGCTGTCAGGGGGGTACGCACTACAAACTAAAGGTACCAGCAGCCTCGGAGCTTTTTAATCCTCTCAACTTGGCAGCTCTGCCCGCACCACCCGGAGAAAAATAGGGTCACATGATCAATTGCGTTGAAAAAATAATAGCTGGGTCAGCAGAAAAAAATAGGGTCGTCAGGAACCGGTACCACAGGGTTTTTTTTACGCCTTACTTCATTCAGACATTTTCGAAAAGCCTCCGACTCCAAATTCTATTGGGAACTGTGACAACGACATTGATCTACAACATTACGTAGGCAAGTTGTGTGTTTGATTTACACATGTGTAACTTGATCAAGTTGTGAACAGGTCTTTATATAGCTGGTGAAACATCTCAACAAGAACTGATTCGTATTCTTCAACAATTTAAAATAAATGAACGATATTTGGCGAGAAAATTAAACTTTAATAATAACATTAAACACCCTTCACGCTCCTGATTTTCGGCTTTTGTGTTTTCTCATCAATTATTTATTGTTCACAAGTAATAATTAATATATACAGATCGAGCCATTCCATTTAATATCCAACCCCCCCTTAAATGGATGAAGTCAGTAAAAGGGCTTTATAACCCCTCAGAAACGACTTTGGGGTCACCCATAGAAATAATTAAGACCTAATATTTGCTGCCGCAGTGAGCGAGCCTGAAGCAAGCGAGCAAGCGAGCAAGGCAGCAGCCTAATCTTTATGTATATGTGTTATATATATATATGCAGATGAAATCTCGATCGTTTCGGCGCATTTCGGCCTTAACCCAGGGCCGTAGCAACCGGGCGGGGGGCTAGGGGCTGACAAACTGCAAAGAATGAAGGTATTACCCACACTTTCCTGCAACTTATTTAATATGTAGTAAGGCAAACAAGCAATGTGATCATCTTTCATCTTTGGTTTTCTTTTATAGTAAGCCATAGCTGGCGCAAGTGATCAAACAGCATTTTGTCGATATGCAGTGGTTCGAGGTTCTTTCGCTATTATACGCAGTGGTTCGAGCATTGATATGTGGTGCTTTTGCCATTATACGTGGTGTGTTCGCCATTATACACAGTGGTAATCGAGCATTATACGCGGTGCTTTCGTAGTCATTATACGGTGCTTTTAACATAATTTCCATATTCTTTCCATGCATGTATATAATCTCACGATTGCTTTTATTAAATTTGGTATGTGGCTGTGCTTTTTGCCTCTGGTCTGCAATGACAATGACACACTTTTAATTAAGGTTTATTTATAAAAAGGTGACTGCACTTTGACACTTTGTGAGTTCTATATATCATATAGTGTTGATTTATTAATAATAAATCTGTGTATATAACAGGTATATACATTAATAGAACACAGCGAATGCGTGCCATTAGCAGTATAAACGTGGCTGAAATACGATATTAAAATCTTGAATGTGCCGTATGATTTAATTATGTTTTTGGATTTAGAGCCTTTAAAAATGCTTTGTCATTTGTATTTGTACTTGTACTGCATCACAAGGCAGTGCGTAAGTGAACAGATTCCACATGTGAGGTTGTCTTGTATATAGTTTTGCCTTCTTTGATAAACATTATTAAACACACAAATTTAGTGAGATGCACACATACTTGCACATGTTAAATGTCACCTGCATGTCATTGCCCTTTAACTCCTGGTTTAAATCATATGATTATTGAAGCGGGCCGTTTTGACTTTGGGCCATTTTGACCTAGCACCGTATTTGTAGGCAAATTGTCTGTACAATTTTATATACTAGATATCACAGCCATACCAGCTGCCATTTTGATCTTTTCCTCACATTAGATAAGTTGATAACCGCCCCCTGTGCACTCATTCTTGTTAGCCATCATACCTGTTCAGCTGTTCCTCTTTCGATACGAAACTTCAAGCGCCGAGTTATCATAATTATACCGCACATTCAAGTGTATATAACTTATGGACGATTCCAATTTATTACAAATATTTCTTACTGGGAACAAATTGCTATGCCAAGGCAGCATTCACTACCCTGTGGGTAAACTAGTTCATGGGGTCACCCTAATCAGAGAAATTTGTTTAATTAAGGGGGGTGTGGACATTAAATGGATGGCACCGTCAGTGGACTGATGTTGTATCATATATTCAAATTTGAGTATTATACATGTAAGGATTTCATTCAACAGTAATGGCTGGGTTAAAGAAATTATTTTTGAAAAATTGCTGTTTATATGGAAATCAGGAGAATTTAGTATAGGATTAAGTTGTTATAGTTGTTGTCATGGAAACCAACAAGCAATAAATTAAGTGGCTATATTATTTGATTGAGAATATTGGTTCATTTACATTATGGCTGAGTGGTGGTGCCAGAAATTTCCCGATAGAGGGGGTTAATGTTCCCCGATGGAGGGGGGGGCGCTATATGCAAATTTTTTCATGGTTAAGCATACAATATATAGATATACTAACAATATATTTTATATACTTAAAATATACAATTGAGCCAGCATGATGCGTTAATGTTCTTTATAAAATGTATACGAATCATATGTAACGGGACTCGCCGAACTGTGGAAACACATCAAAAATTTGTATTGCCGCCACTCTCAGTGCCAAACCTCTATGACGTACCATACCTACATATTTTTGCATGTTCACAATTCTTACAGCCAGTCGACGTTTCATTGTAATTGTTGCCAAGAACTGGATTGACTGTTTAAAATTAGAATTGTATACATGCAAAAATATGTAGGTGCGGTCGTAGACGTTTGTGGGAGTGGCGGCAATACAGCATTTACATGGTGGATCTTGGAGCACGAGCGGATTGAGCTGCTCAACTGAAGCCTCTCAGCGGAGGAGAATCGATCAACTTATGCACAGTTTGTCATGAGGTTTTTCAAAACAAGTCTATACATGGTTCATTTACATGGCCAGCGGATTGTTTCACACAATACACCCTATTGATGATTACGTCACACACATCTTTTGGTCGAATGGAGGAGCCTCGATCGCTCTCATTAAGTAAATTACGCAAGGTGATTGACTCACAGTTCATGAGAGCGAGGCTCCCAGGCCAAATGATGTAATTATTGAAAGGGTGACTGTTAACAAAATCGGAACCTTAAATTACCTGTAACCCATGACCCATTAACCTGGCCAATGGACCACCTGTTTGCAGCCCTTACCAAAGACAGGCCAACCTATAGGGTTTTTTATAGGTAACAAGACGCCTGCTCAGGTGTTAACACTGGCCTGAAAATGGCAACTTTTGTGCTAGGGTGTGATGTGTAGTAGAAAAATAGATAGGGATACAGGAGGTCTGGACCATATAAATACAACCAATACATTCATGATCAGCAACTATTTTCGCAAACTTTACCCAGTCTACACCATCTAGGAAGTTTGCACATGTTGTTTCCCAATTCCTATAATCAAGGGACTGTATCTATCGGTTATATATTTTCTTTATTATAATAATTGCGTTACAACATTTGAACAATTCTCTAAATACATCAATTCAATCTCGATTCAATCTCAAACTTCTCACTTCGAACTCCGAACTCATGCACTCTTACATTTTACAACTCTATTTATAATATTAGCTAAGGTCTCTGAGCCAAAGTATTGACACACACATTCCTGAGGTTTCCGCGCTTGGTAGCTACAATGTTGTCTATAACATTGTTATCTATGCTTTCTTTAATAATCTCTAACAGAACATAATCTTACAGTTGCATCTATATCGCCATCTTGCTTACTTCCTCGTGGTCCATAATTAATGTTTATTATGTTAATTATGCTAGACACTACATCCCTCCTTTTCTCAGAGTTTTTCACAATTGCAGTTCGTTGTTAATCATCCACCACTATATCTATGTGTTGGTATTTAACAAAACAGAATATGAATGCTAAGACAAATTGTTGATTGTCCAACAAGTTATATGACTGTCACTGTCAGCCCTTTCTATTTACAATAAGGCTTAATGATAATAGTTCGGCCTTCTTCGTTCTCTCCTTGGATATTGTCGTTCTAGATTTTGTTGTTCATCTCGGTTGTGATTGTTGTTATTTTCATTGTCTCCAATATCACGTTGTTCTTCATGTTCATCACTATCTTCCATTTCCTCCTCATCTTCAGAAGACAACCCAGTTGTTTTAATAGGTTTGAAAAACGATTGGTTTCTAGTAATAGTGAATCCTGGTCTTTCTGCAGTAATCATCGTTCCTTTTACTGTGATTATTCGTAGCGGTTTGGGATCAAAATTCGGGGTAAATTTGTTGTGCTTTTGTTGTCTTACGAGTACATCATCACCAATATTCATGGTTGTCGTCTTACTTTGTCTCCGTCAATCTGCATATTCTTTCATGCGTTGTCGTTGTTCTTTATCGCGTTGCTCGACGGAATGATCAAGGGCATTCTTGTCGGTTTTAGTATCAGTCTGGGGTAATCTTGTGCGAGTGTTCCTACCAAACATGAGTGTGGCCGGTGCAACTTGAGTTGTGGTATGGGGAGTAGCTCTGTAATTTAATAAGAATTCCTGCATGGTGCGGCGCCAGTTTTGCTTTTGCAGATGAGCTGTACGAATAGCCTTCATCAAAGGTTTCATGAAAGTTTCGCTTTCATTTGCTTGTGGCCATAATGGAGTGATTGTTTTGTGTTGAATGCCATTGTCATCCATGAATTTCTTTATTTCTTTGCTCTGAAACGGTGGACCATTGTCCGAGATAACTTTTTTTGGTAATCCAAATGTGGCAAAGATCTCGTCTAAACATGGAATTAGATGAGGAGCATCCGTTTTCTTCATAATTTTTGTTACCGGATATCGGGAGCGTCCATCTATTAGGAAAAAGAGTGTTTCTCCACTTGGTAACGGACCCAAAAAGTCAATGTATACAGTGTCAAAGTTCTCCTTGGGTATCTCGCGCATTAACAGAGGTTGTGGTGGTTTTGGACGTCCAGTGGCTTGGCATGGTATACAGCTGTCGATTGCAGATTTGACAAGTGAATCAATTAAGGGGAACCAAACTTTTTCTCGCATTAGGCTCTTCGTTTTAACTATGCCTTGGTGGCCAACATGGGCTAAACGTATGGCATCTGCTCGCAAGCTTTTTGGAATAACAATGCATGTGTCTCGTAAAATGATGTTCTTATCATTAGATACAGTCAATTCATCTTTGATATTATGGAGTAACTTTAGTTCACGAATATCAATGTCTGTGTCTTTGGAAAATGATGTGGTGTCTAACGTATGCCATAAGTTTTTCTGTATTATGTGTGCAGCATGTTGCAAAGTTGGGTCATTTTGTGTTGCTTCTCTGATTTGTTGAAGGGTCATTGCTTTTGGGGTTGTTGATTCCGCAATGAACTGAATATAATATTCAGAGTTTTCACTGTCTTGTGATGTCATTGAGGTCGTATTGATTGGGTGTCTTGACATGTAATCGGATGGGTTATCGTGGCCAGGGCGATAGTGAATTTGGAAATTGTACGACTGTAGGCGTAAACGCCAGTGTTCTAGTGGTGCAGGGCAATGTGAATTTGGATTCTGAAAAATCGATACTAATGGTTTATGGTCTGTATAGATTGTGAAATGAATTCCATAGAGAAATAAACGAAAATGTTCGCAGCCAAAAACAATTGCCAATGCCTCGCGTTATGTCTGACTATATCTTTGTTCTACTTCTGTAAGAGCACGACTGCCATATGCAACGACAGTTTCGTCATTTTGGCTGGGAGTATTTTGTATTAATATTGCCACTAGACCAGTGGGAGAGGCATCTACAATGAGCTTGGTGTCTTTTGAAGGGTCAAAGTATGATAAAGTGGTTTTTTCGTTCAATCTTTCTTGTAATGTATCAAATGCATGTTGTTGTGATTCTTTCCATTCGTATTTTATGTCCTTCTTTGTAAGTTTACGTAATGGGGCAGTCAGTGTTGCAAGATCTTGGATAAATCTGCCGCAATATGTTATCATTCCTAAATAGCTACGAAGTTCAGAAACATTCGCTGGAGGTTTTAGAGACTTGATCGCTTCGATCTTTTTAGGACATGGGGATATACCCTGCTTCGAGAAAACATGACCATAAAACGTGATGCTTGGTTTATCAAATTCACATTTGTCACCGTTGAATCTTAAATTCTTTTCATTAGCACGCTGTAGAACAGATTCTAATGTCATGTCATGTTCATGTTGTGTTTTGGCAAAAACTAGTATGTCGTCGCTTATGTTTATACAACCGTCAATATCTTGGAATGTGGTCTGAATGACATTTTGAAATATCTCAGCAGCACTATTTGTGCCAAAGTTCAAACGTTTATATCTTTTGAGACCTTCATGAGTTGCAAATGTAGTCATGTCATGCGAAGCTTCATCCAACTCTAGTTGATAGTACCCAGAGCTTAGATCAAGTTTTGAGAAATATGCAGCACCATTTAGTTTTTCAATTAAATCTTCAGTTGTGGGAGAAGGGTGACGTTCCCGTGAAATGGCTTTATTGGGTATACGCATGTCAACACAAAGACGAATTTGGTCGGGATTGTTGGGTTTTGGGAAACAAACAATGGGAGATACCCACGATGTGGGGCCTGTTACACTTTCAATAATATCTAATGATTCAAGACGTCGCAGTTCTTCTGATAGTTTGGTTCTCATTGTAAATGGGATTCTGTGGACTTTTTGAATTGTGGGTTGGACAGTTTTATCAATGTGTAAATGGACTTTGTAATCTGGGACTTTTCCGATTCCTTGGAATAAATTATCATATTTCGAAAATAAGGTTCTCAATCTTTTAGGTCTAGACTTGCTATTTGTTGGAGCATTTTTCTTAGGTTGATGGGTTTCAGGTCGAGATGTAACAAATGCAATTTTGTTTAGCTTTAATAACCCAAGATCAATTGCAGTGTTTCCACTTATTAGACATCCAGCATCAGTGTTTATCACATAAAATTGGGCTGTGGTAATTTTTGTTCCTGATTCAACTGAAGCTTCGAAATACCCTTTGATGTCGAGGGGTGTGTTAGTGGCAAAAGCAAAAAGTTTTATTTTGCTTTTCATCAAGTGGATGTTGTTCTGGCGTGTTAATTTCTCAAAACTAGTATTATCGATAATATTTACACTGGCACCAGAATCAATGTTTACACGAATAGTTATGTCATTGATTTTAATATGGGTGTAGAAATTTCGTTTTCGACAGTCACTGTTAACTTCATTAACAGTTCCTCCTGTGGGTGAAGTGGTGATAGATGTTAAAACGACTTTGTTAGTATCAGGGGTTTGTTTTTTTATTGTGTAAACATATTCATCTGAGCTTGAATTCGTACCTTGTTCGTCTATTTGTTTCACTTGGGATCTTCGTTCATTGGATTTCTGAGGAAACTTACTTTCACGCTGTCCAGCTGAAATTTTCGATTTACAACATCGTGCAAAATGGTTTTGCTTGTGACAATGGTTGCATGTTTTCCCTTTTGCCGGACAAACATTCACATGTGGCCAGTTTAATCCACAAAAGAAACATATTTTCTTAGGCGTTGTAGCAGCCGGATTTCGTCGTACGGCGTGGATATCTTTCATTGGTGTTTCATTCATATTTTGCTCAATTCCGCTCGCATCTTCTTCAACAGTTTCAAGTGTCCGTCCATAGTCTAAGAGTTCAGCCAAAGTCAGTTTTGGTTTACGGAAAGCATATCGTCGAAGTTGTTTGGAATTGGTCCCTAGCTCAATTTGAGCTTTTATCTCAGTATCTAAGTTTGAGAATTCACAGTACTTAGCTTTCTGGACGAGTCGTACATGGTATTGATCGAAGTTTCGTCAACAAGTTGGTTTGTTTTCCTGAACTTGAATATTTCAAACGATGTATTCTTGCGAGGTTTAAAGTGTTCATTTAAAGCTTGACACGCTTCGTCATAGTCGTCTTCTGTGCCTGTCTCGGGCAGTGTTTCAAAGATATTTAGAGTACTTTCACCGATATAGTATAATAATAACGCTCGTTTTCTTTTCTTGTCTTTTATATCGAGTGCAATCAGTAGATTTTCGAATCGCATGAACCATCGTTGCCATCGAATTTCGATATTTTCCCGATTCTCGGCGTCGAAAGAAGCAAATTCTGGTAAGCTAGTCGCCATTTGAGGTACTTCTATATGAAACGATCCTCGTCGCCAATATAATGTTGTCTATAACATTGTTATCTATGCTTTCTTTAATAATCTCTAACAGAACATAATCTTACAGTTGCATCTATATCGCCATCTTGCTTACTTCCTCGTGGTCCATAATTAATGTTAATTATGTTAATTATGCTAGACACTACACCCATGTCAATAGTGGTATCCATTATATCTTGGTCAGACAAAACAAATTCCATATTTAAGAAGTTTGGCAACCCACAGGTTAAAATAGACATCTTGTGAATTATATATATATATGTTATATATATATATATATATATATATATATATATATATATATATATATATATATATATATATATATATATGTTATATATATATATATATATATATATATATATATATATATATATATATATATATATATATATATATATATATATATATATATGTATATATATATATATATACTCAGGTACATTGATGCATGGGTCTCAGTTTGTGTATTTAGCGAAAATAAACAAAAAATCATAAAAAAATAAGTATGGCATTGATTATTACCACTCAAGTTTTATATGATTTATCAAAGGAGATTCTAAAAGTTGACCTACTTTTCGTTGTCATGGCAACGATCACGTGATGTGTATTTCGAAAAACAACACAAAAAATGATACTTTTTATTCAGAGGCTCTGCAGCAGTATATTTCGTGACTGGGAGGACGCAGAATTGCGATAATCATTCACACATAATATCACTGTTTATTGAATAAATTCGGAAAGTTTACATTTAGGCTTCGTTTCATTATTTTATGCGGCTATATTACGATGATCGGCATCAAATGAATGTTAATCGCGTCATTAAATGCCGGTTATCTACAAATAAATGTACTGTTTCCAAATTAACGCAGGAAACTTTGTTCCCTTGTTAATGTTTTTATGATTGATGTCCAATACCCACGATCGGAGTCCGATGGAGAAATCCATCATACATGTGCTACCGATTGATCCGATGGACAAACATGTCTACCGTCGGAAAAAAGCTTGTCCGATGGAGAAATACACGTAGACAAATAGAGCATAACGTGATATTAATTCATAACATAAATATAAGAACTATTGGAACAGTCAGGCATGACAAATAAGTCGGACCGTTATACTTTTCCAATGTTTTTTTCTCTAAGTGTCCATGTTTTAAACGATGCTATATTAGTGGCAAATGTCAGATGGTCCGATCGATCGATCGGATCCATCGAACAAGCGTGTTTACGGTCGGACACAAATTTTACCGATGGCGAAATGACGTCATTTGAAAGCTACGCGGTGGCAAAGTAAAGAGGCTGGGCAGTAGGCTCTGGCACGATGTTAGTGGCAAATGTCAGATGGTCCGATCGATCGATCGGATCCATCGGACAAGCTTGTTTACGGTCGGACAGAAAATTTACCGATGGCGAAATGACGTCATTTGAAAGCTACGCGGTGGCAAAGTAAAGAGGCCGGGCAGTAGGCTCTGGCACGATGTTAGTGGCAAATGTCAGATGGTCCGATCGATCGATCGGATCCATCGGACAAGGGTGTTTACGGTCGGACAGAAAATTTACCGATGGCGAAATGACGTCATTTGAAAGCTACGCGGTGGCAAAGTAAAGAGGCGGGCAGTAGGCTCTGGCACGATGTTAGTGGCAAATGTCAGATTGTCCGATCGATCGATCGGATCCATCGGACAAGGGTGTTTACGGTCGGACAGAAAATTTACCGATGGCGAAATGACGTCATTTGAAAGCTACGCGGTGGCAAAGTAAAGAGGCTGGGCAGTAGGCTCTGGCACGATGTTAGTGGCAAATGTCAGATGGTCCGATCGATCGATCGGATCCATCGGACAAGCGTGTTTACGGTCGGACAGAAATTTTACGGATGGCGAAATGACGTCATTTGAAAGCTACGCGGTGGCAAAGTAAATTGGCTGGGCAGTAGGCTCTGGCACGATGTTAGTAGCAATTGTCAGATGGTCCGATCGATCGATCGGATCCATCGGACAAGCTTGTTTACGGTCGGACAGAAATTTTACCGATGGCGAAATGACGTCATTTGAAAGCTACGCGGTGGCAAAGTAAAGAGGCTGGGCAGTAGGCTCTGGCACGATGTTAGTGGCAAATGTCAGATGGTCCGATCGATCGATTGGATCCATCGGACAAGCGTGTTTACGGTCGGACAGAAATTTTACGGATGGCGAAATGACGTCATTTGAAAGCTACGCGGT